CACTTTAGGAAAAACATGTTTGAAGAAAGGCAGATACCCGAATCCTTTTTGGCACCTATTATCGTGAAATATCGCGCTCCATTCTCACCACGCACGACAAAAGCGTCCGCTAAGTCCCCTCCGAATGACATGTGGACGCACTTTTCGTCATTCAGGGGAAGGTACCAGTCCAACTACCACTGCTTCGCGGCGTCTACATTCATTTGGAGGGCACTGACATTGGAACACTAGGATTCCAAGTCGTCCGCAAAAGGTAGACATGGGCGTTACCGTCGTTAACGTAGATCAGAAACGGCAGTGGTCCCAAAACGGAGCCTTGAGGAACTCCGTTGGAGACCTGTGGGTCGAGTCTACTTTCATTCGGGATGTTTTGGCACAGAATAATACTGTTATTCATCCACTTCCAGATACTCTATGGGGTCTAAGACAGACCGATTCTTGAGTATGCCAACCAAATTATTTACTCAAGACGCAAGAAAGACGTGACCCTTATTGAGCGCGTCTAATGAGCTGCTACGAAAATGGCTGCCGGCGTTAAATTCACTGACTGTGGTACGCGTCTTGCGGTGCTTGACCTCCTTCCCTCGGATTACCGTCGCCCCCGAAGAGACCTTATACTTACGCTCTGTTTGAACTGGGTTTGACCAGCAGTTTTTACATAGTTGACTCGGCTAACACGGCGGGGACGTGGTAGGATTTTTAAGCTTAGAGCGCACGCTTTGATTAGGCAACAATTATTCTATCTCCGGGTAGTTGGTGCGTGAGGCAGCCTTCCTCTGACGGTTGTTCACGCTGCATGTAGAGCCTAGTTCAAGGGCTATTTGTGCGATTGTTTGCCTGTTGCTGAGAACTTAAAGAACACCCATTTCGCCTGTGCCTTCCAGGTGAACGGCAGCCACTGAACGACTCGAGAAGCTTGGGCAAAAGCCTCAACCCCATGAATCAAACCGCGAATACGCCACCGAGGGTAGCGGTGTTGTGCTTGGGTGTGTACACAGGTTGTTGTCTTCGGGGTGCGTGGGACAAGTGTTGTTTATGTGGTAAAGGCTGTATACCACAGACAGAAATTGTTCAGCTTCTTTATCTATGACGGTGCTTCAAAGGGTACACTAAGGTAAGGTAATGCTTAGTCCATATACGTTCCAGACGGAATTCTGCTTAGTTTTCGCAACTTTCTCTCGCGAATGCTCGTAAACCTGATAGAACGATAACTGTGAGCAACTTAGAAGCGAGATCTCAAACATCAGTTGCTCTTTCAGTAAGACCTAATATATTTTTTGAGAGAAGCCACATCGGATGATTCCATTGCCATTCGGTCTTTCGTTTTCACGCTATCCTGCCGTTTAAGCTGCCCAAATATCCATAGGAAGATCGTTAATTCCCTCTGTGAATGTCAGGCAACGAAATCCCTGAACGTCTGCAAGACGTTGCGCGTACCCGTCAAATCGGTATTCATGCACAGTGTGGATATAAGTGCATTGTGGTGCGCATTTGCATCCGTGCATAAACGGGCCTCCATCGTACAGTGGTAATGCCTTCATTCGGTATACTCTTCAGTGCGTCCACTTTTCGTTCATCGGATGGAGGAGGAATAATAACATCGGCGATGGCTCCGTTATATCACATCTGTCCAAAATGTGACATTACACTACGCAACAGTAAACATTTGATGAGTAAAAAATGTACTGCATGCAGAAGGACTTGTCTATCTGCGGATTCAAAGGCTTCCTTATAGTTGAAGGAAACTACAAATGTTGGCCTGCGGTATTTATGCCATGCTCGAGCATTTGTCCGTCACTAGCTTTCATCTTGACTTGGTAGTCGGGCTTGAGTAATGCACTAATCCCGCGGGCTACGTCGGCTGGAACTTCGTTGCACAAAGGTTAACCATGCCAGGAAGGCCAAAAAGGAGCATTCGGACCAAGGGCAGCGAGACTCCATACTATGAGTAATCGGATTATTCGGTGGTCGGCCGCTAAAGTTCTATTGCCTCAAGATGTGAAGGCTTTAAGGCGTTCATCCACAAGATCGGGATGTCCATATTTATGGAAACACCGATGCTGCCTGTCATGACTATATAACCCATACCTTTGCATAACCCATTAACTCGTGATTCTCACTCTATTTTCAGCTCATGTACTACAGTTATTGGACGATTAAAGCGTACATTACGTCCTCCTATTCTGTCTCCTTTCTAATCCCGTCCTGGAACTACTCGACTCTCGCAACACTGCCCTCGAGAGAAGACCGGTTAGTAAAGCTCGACCTTGAAAACCGCGCACAAACCGCCCAGCAGTTGACCATGACCGCCGGGGTACTTTCTACTACGGCTAAAATACTTTTGAAACCAAAGTGTCTGGGGCTGCTCGCAAAGCACGTGCTATGCGCAGTCGCCTTAGAAGTCACAGTTACTCCCAACTCTTTGTGCCCTCCGGCTAGGCAAGTTTTTTTTCCAGTCAGACTTCCAACAGTCGGACTGTTGAGTCGTTGCCTCCGGGGAGGGTCCCTCAGGAAAGCGCCAGCACCTGTTGTCTCGCGGGTAAGAAAGCGTTCAGCTGTAGCACCCTTCCGGTGCCTAGCTGCCATGCCACCCGAAGGAAGCACGAGAGCTGGGATACTGCCAAGTTGTCCAAGCCTAGACAGGGGAAGTCGAGAGGCGGAGGTCGGATTCGTACCGCGGACCTTCCGGTCAGTAAATTCGCGATCTAAACACTTAGGCTATCTTGCCCCTCGCGGGTAAGGCTTATAAGCCAGAGACTTGGTGGAATCCGTAAGATAACCCAACCTCCCACTGATCTGATGGTCAGAATTTTGAGTCGAAGGCTAAGGACTGAGTAACTCAGACTGACTTTCCTCGACCAAAATGCACCACTTGCTCACATAGCGGCTAGTTTCCTTGGTTCATCAAATTCTGATATAATTAGTACCTATACGAACTCAACTTCTCTGTTATGCACTAGAAGCGTGCAAAACCCTACTACACCAATGCATCTAAGCACGGCCCAAGGCTGTTCAGTGTATTTGAAGCATAGCCTCCTTGTCGGGTGATCCGGAAGTGGCTATCTGAGATCTCAGTGGTTTTGGTATTTTGTTGAGTTCGGGATTTGAAGTTGCTCCTATTGACCGGATTCTTATAAACAATTCGGAAGAATCGGTATTTATAAACGTCGTCTCGGTGGAGAACTTGTTGTAGATGTTCCCAAATCCGCTTTCCACGATCGCACGCTGACCACCGTCTGTTGGTCACAAGCATGCTTTCAGCAAAAAGTGGGATCACCGTACTACCCGTAACCAATGGATCACTGAAATTAACCACCTAGCAATTAGCCCGAGTGAAACACAATTAGGTGGTCAATTTGGAGTCTGTGTTCAGCATACAGATAATGGGGGGCACCTTTTTTAGCTGTCTTCTGAATATCATTTTCCTGGTTAGTATGGGCTTTGGGAACAAGCATTCACTACGAGGTTATTTCGGGACCACGGACCGCAAGTCGGTCACACCCTGACTTTGATCATACCATTGTGCGGACTCGGTCGTCCTTTCATTTTCCCTCAGCATCACGCATGTCAAAGCAAAACGATTTCATTTGTCAGCCTTTGAATGGTTCAAATAGCTGATCAGTACCGTGTTTGTCTAGCAGCAGAGCTACTTGGAATGCACAGTCACGCTGATGACGAGGATTGGTTGGATGATAAATAAGAGTAAAGTTATATTCTCAGATTTTGAAACTGTTGGTCCGAGCAATCCCATTTGAATAAATCAAAACTGGATATGGTCGTGATCACTCATACCAGCATCTGGCGACTACAATAACGCACGAGGATCCCTCAAATGCCGGATAATCGATAGCCTGAAGAATGGCAGATAACGCTGATAGGTTACGAAGGCCCAGGAGATGGAGGCTTTCGCTGCAGGCAACAGCCGCGCTATATTTGAAATTATTTGATGGCAGATAAGCTGATGGGTTACGAAGGCCCAGGAGATGGAGGCTTTCGCTGCAGGCAACAGCCGCGCTATATTTGAAATTATTTGACCAACCGGTCAAAAGAAGGCAAGTACCAGTGAAACAATATGTGCAAAAGACAACTCCCTTACTCGTTGTCTTCATTGGTGGGCTGAGCGCATCAAAGAACAGCTCATATGGCCTCCTCTAATGCAACCGCGGGAGGAACCGAGCGGGTCCGAATGGAACATCAATACCCACCTACTATCAGCAATCGAAATCCAGTATGAGATAGCAATCATGAAGTTCAATAAAGCCCCTGGCTTTGATAGTCTGCACCCCGCGCTCTTCAAAGGTAGCGGGACCCTGGTCAAGTCTGACAACCATACTACGGAAGATTTGGAACGAAAACTGAACACTAGCCGAATAGAGCTGCTCGACCGTCATTCCAGTCTTTAGAAATGGCAAAAGAACGTCTTGTGAAAATTATCGTGGAATCAGCCTGGTGCCCGTCACATTTAAGGTGCTCTCTGGCATTACTTTGTGATGGTTGGTGGGTTATCGGGAGAGAAGCATTCGTGAGAATCAAGCTAGGTTTTGCTCTGGTTGATGATGTATCGACCATATCTTTGCCTTGGGACACATTCTTGAACAGCACCACTCCTTCAGACGTCCCATGTTGGTCATTCTTTATTTGAAAGCCTTCTTTGATTCTGTTGATAGTGCGAGACTGACGGTGTTTGAGAATTGAGGTATCCCTTCCATATTTATATCCCTCATGAGGGCACTGTATGTGAACTCTCGTGGACCCGTACGAGTATACGGGAAGCTTTCGATTGAGTTCACCACGGTGAAATATAAGACCATCCTCTCTCACCTTCACCCTTCAACTTTGCAATTTCTCTGCCCGCCTCCGAAACCTCGGGAGTCGAAATGCTCCCCGGACGTTTCTTTACAGACATTGTGTATGCGGACCTTATTGCTATCCTTGGTTCAGACCCTTCCCAAATGCGGACGATTTTAAATAACCTAAATAGCTCTACCGCACGGTTTGGCATGCGCTTACCATCTGCAAAGTGTAAAGTACCGCTGTAAGACTGGGCTGGATCAAACCCACATCTTGTGCTTGCAGGCGGGCCAATCGACGTAGTAGATAAATTTGTTTGCCTGGGCAGCTGTACAAGTTGCGGTTGATTGGCTGGAGTTGAGATTATTTCTCGAATCGGAAAGGCCAGGCTAGCTTTTTCCAACCTTCAACACCCATGGCGCCGAAGTGACGTCAGTTTGTCCATCAGGGCAGAGTTTGCACTGCAATGGTGCGATCCATACTACTTCATGGATCAGAAACGTGGTCGGTACGTGCACAGGACATACGGAAGATGTCACTGTTTGGTCACCGAGGTCTCCAATGCATTGGTCAGGTCTGCTGGAAACATCGGATTAGTAATGCCAGATGGTCTCACGATGAAGAAACTCTCCCACGATAGATGAATCACTCACTTCACGCTGGTTAGGACATGTACTCTGCATGCTAGAAGACCATTTGCCTCAGAATTCTTTTTTCTCATCCCCGCGCTGAATGGAAGCGACCGATGTGTGAACAGTGTACGACGTGGTAACGAAATACGAAAACACCAGCCAGTAAACTTACTCGTGTCGGCAACTGCTGCCTCTCTGGATGTGGACCCCGGAACTCAACTCACCAATGGTTAATGACCGGCGGAAATGGTCCAATCGCGCAGTTAATGTTGGGGCGAGATGGCGTTGTGTTTGGAGCGCGGATTCACTGACCGAAAGATCCGTGGTTCGAACCCGACCTCTGCCTCTTGACTTCCCCTGTCTGGGCTTCAGCAGGCTGGCAGTATCCAAGCCCTCGTGCCACCTTCTGGTGGCACGACAGTTAGGCACCGAATGGGTACTACAGCTGGCCAACTTTTTTTTACCGCTGTACGCACTGTTTGACTATCCGTATCTGGGATCGTTGTATTAGCAATGCCGGCGTACGCCAGACGATTTAGGAAGATTGTACTCTCCCATGATGAGTGAGTTACTCATGCTTCATAGGTTACGCCGGTCAGGATACGCACTCCTGGGAACTGAGTATGATAGTAGTGGCCAGTAAACCCAGTCGGGTTGACAACCTCCGCCTCCCAGACTGGGGACTCCAGGACTAAACCCATCAATGCTTTATCGTACTGGTAGACGTGGCTCAGGTACACAGCCAGTGACACTCCTGTATCACAGCTCTTCCTTTCAGTGCTTAGTTGCCCCATTTCACATTCATCCGGGGCTATGTACACTACGAACTGATCGTGCTGCCGAATTCAGTGCATAGCTAAAAGATATGTTTCCAAGTTTGTCTTATTTTCTGGTGACCGAAATTTTTGCATCTGAAACCAAAGTACCCTTGGTATATGGCTTATAGCTGACAAACTAAACTGAATCGAACGACGTTCGATTTGAACTTGAGTGACAGGATTCGGCCACTCTCTCCTTAGCAAATCCGCGCAAAATTCGGAATGATAAGCGGTTTTCTTGATATTTTGCAGGTGAAAACGGCAGTCTGATGGACAGCAGACTAGAGGAACTTTTGCAAAGCTCCGAATCACTTGTCATTCTTCCTGATCGTAACCGAGTAAGTTTTCCATCCTTTCCCATATTTGCAGATCAAATGTTTGTATACTGGACATGAGATGCCATTTGACTACGATGTGATATCCCGTTACCTCTGTGGCGTGAAGTTTCGCCGCGCATGCGCGAACAAATTGCTGGAGAATCACAAGGATTACATTGTCGATGTCAGTTCATCAAAGGCTCATTTGTAAGTAATGATAACCGTATTGAGAATATCCGCCTCAGAAATCAACTGTTCTGCAAACTAACCTGGCGGTATATAAACAAAGATGTGGATCACTTGATTCGTCACTTCAGAGGAAGAAAGTTTCAGCAAGCTTTAGGAAAATGTAACGTGAAGTTTTAATTCTCCGTGCTTATTACTTCAGATCTTCAGTGCAAAGAATCCGGAACTGAATTTGCTCCTACCTCGGGGAAGTACAAGAACGCATCCTATTTCAAGGAATCCAACGGGAGTAAGTCGAAATTTTGTGCTCCGTTTGTTAGTTATGTTTCGTTTTTATTTACCGTAATCGTCCCTCACACTTACCTCCTCGGTTCCGTATCTATCGAACCCAATAAACTTTTATATCGGGTTCAGGTAGGTACCGTTTTTCCCGGGATTGTCTTGTCGGCCTTCAATTGTGTGAAGTTCGCTCTCTTCCTGCCACATACAAACATCATAATTCCGTCCGCAATATTAAACGACAGTCTGAATGGAATGCTGTAAACGGACCGCAGGATTGCCGGTATACTCAAACTCAAATATCAACCCATAACCGAGTAACAAATACCCTTACTAACTCTGTATATGAACTATCTGTATTCGCTACCCGGATAATTAGCTTACTGCAGCGTACTCTCGAGGAAATTAACAGTTGCCCCCGCTGGCGATCGGGGGCGATCTTTGTAGGTTTGTGGACAACTTAACCAGAAAGGAGCTAGCCTGCAAGCGGCAAAGTTGCTGCAGAGGTGGAAATGATATCTAACGTCATAAACAGGTGTATGCTTTGTTAATCCGAAGTTTAGTTTAAAGTTAGAAATTCATTCTTTTTGAACACTAAGCTGTTAGTAGATCGCTGCGGTTCTGCGATTCAATCTCGTGCCCAGTGACATATTCCAGACAGACTGGAAACATTTGCAATGTTTAGTGGGTCTGTATTGAGCCACATCTCAAATCAACCTCTACGAGGACTTAAGTACATTGAGACGTTCACTGGTGTGAGTCCTCTTTATGACCTTCAACATTCTACAGGAAACCCGTCACGATAATTTGAAAATGTGATCCATTTGACTGGTTGCTCATTCGTCATTTGAGTACAATATAAGCAGATGTCTGGTGTGGTTCTAGAAGCACGCGTTAAAGAGAACAACAGATCCACCAAAGTGATTGGACGTACTCATTGGGGTCGGATTTCTGGGTAATTTGGCGAGTTATTCTCTCAGATATGTGCGAGTGTTCGAATCGCCCGCTTTAACCAGGATGGGGCGTCACGTTCGCAGTATAGAATATACTCCTTGTGTAGTAATCCACAGGTGGTTTTTAGGCGTAGGCCAAGATGACTTATAGGTTTATAGAATGTGTGCTACCTCATTATTCGAGAATGCGAAAACCCATGTGACGAATGCCCTTCTATCTGTTTTACTAAGGGCAAATGCAACTACTCTGGATGAAATCACCCACTAACCCACTACGGCAAACCTAATACGTGTATTTGGTACCAGGGACTGGATTCTGGTTTGTAGCCGGGCATTAGGTAGCTCAGTGGTTTAGGCGCCAGCATACGGATCGGAAGGTTCGTGATTCTAGCATCTCGACTGCTCCTGTCTAGATTTTGGTATCCTGGCAGTATCCCGGCCATTCTACATCCTTCCGTTTGCATGGCACTTAGGCACCGAAAGGGTGCTACAGCTGAACCATTTATTCGATTTTTGATTAGAATATTTTAGGGGTCGGTTATCTGCGCAGTACTCGTTTACTACCTTTCTCAAATGTCGGGAAGTATTCATTCCAGCATTCAGTGAACGTATAGACCCAGCTTGCGCTGTACCCTACGTTGTTGCAAGAACGTATTGGTTGTCAGAGTTGATCACGGAGCTTCATTGAGAATCAGGTCTCTCTGGTCACTCGGCTTTTGTTCGTGGCTGTGCCTTCAACGTGTACACGACCGACCGCAAGGACCACGGGAAGGACAGTTGGACAGTGTAGCCATTACGATCTTTGAACTTCAAGGCTTATAACAACTGCTTATCGTTATTCTTGCTTTTGTTAGTTTGGAGCTCCAGCTCCCAAGGATTGACAATCATTGGATCATCAATAAACCATCGTTCTTGTTCAACTTCGTTTTCAATGAAACAATGAGGCGAACGCCGGAAGGTCTTCAAAACCCCGGTGTCCCGCTTGTTGCTCGTGAGGACCTTGTCGATCTGAAGTACGCGGACGACATTGCCCTCACTTTTGAAGACCAAGACGAGGCGCAATCCCTGTTGAATAGACTGATCACCGGCATACCACCCACCTTTCTGCATGCGCATGTCACTTTCAAAGTGCCAAGTCATGCTTCAGAACTTGCAGTCCCCAAACATATCCCTTACAATTCAAAAAAAAAGTCTCTGGAAATTGTGGGAAACTTTACATACCCCGGTAGTTGTGTTAGCTCTGATGGAAGTGTGTCTGATGAAGTCATTGCAAGACTCTCAACGGCTGAAATCATGTTTGTTCATTTGCGTCACTTGTGACGTCAAGAAGGCATCTCACTTGATCTTAAGAGTCGTGTGTATTAGGCTACAGTAAGGGCTGTGTTGGTGTAACTGCGAAACGTGGACTGTGTATAGATGTCAAGCGTTTTCAGGTTTTTGACCGCCGATGCCTGTTTTTGGATGGCGTCAACGGACCAGTAATGAGGTGATTAGAAAACGAGTATTTGGTTGTGCAGCGGGTACATCCATCGTTGAGAACATCCATCACTATCGAATACGGTGGCTCAGTCATGTGCTACGAATGCAGAAACACCGTCCGCCGAGACGAGTGTTGTTCTCCGTACCTCCTTCAGAATAGTGAGCACTTCGAGGTGGACAGCTTGTGACTTGGCAGAAGGGTGTGAAAGATCTGGAGTTTTGGTGTTGTTGGTGCAGTACACCTTCCAGGAAGGGGTTTCTGTGGCTCTCCCTGCGCTTGGCTAAAGACATCGTAAGAAATGGCGGCTACTTGATGTCAGTGGTGCTCGTGCTGTCAGTTTCTTTCCAGATTGTCTGAGGTCCTTGGAGTCCGGATAACGAACTCCAACCGGTTGACTTAGAAAGCCTCCAACTCCGTCAAATCGGGAGAAATGGATGAGTATCGTGACGCACAGAGCCTAATGTTGATCCATATCACCACCTATCTGTATCCTAACAGGCAGCAATACCAGTAGTGTGTAACATTTCTTGTGACCAATTTTTTGAAGTTCACTCCACATCATAAACAGGGATTAACTGGCAGTCTGGAACGTTCCGCATGGACTACCAATATCAACACTATTGTGGCTGTTGCACTGTACTGTCGCAGAGCGGGGTGACGTCTGAAGTGCTCTTACTCCTTCCACTATTGTTCCAGACTATTCCCCACGATAATATGGCGTGGCAGTTTACGTACTTCAGTCATCAGTCGTAGTCAATCTTCCGGTTGTTGCAGCTGGGTCCGTGGCTCGATTAAAAATCTAGGTAAATTTCGTTATCGGCCAGACCTCATTGTTACCACTTTCCGTCATCATAGGTAGCAGTATACAAGTTGTGAATAATGGTGCTGAGTCACTATACGGCCAAGAAGAAAGCGTGCACTAGTAAAGTGTTGAAAGGAAAAGGGTGAGAACCTGGTGAAAAAGTCGTAAGCTTTTAGGGAAAGATGTCCTTAAAAGGATGTCTGTACTCTATCACAGCAACTAGGCAACACACGTGAGCACCATATCGTAGTAAGATTTCATCAGTGGGATCGACATGCAAGCCCTTTTCGAACCTACTCCAACAAGAGCCAAGCGTACAACAGCAGACAAAATATAGCTAGTTAGCCATGTTAGATTCTGACAACCACTTAGGTCATCTAAGTCCCCTATTTTCAAGGTTCCAACTACTGCGGGACCGATCACTTGGTAGGCGAGAAGGCCCCACGGCATGCAACTCGATTGTAAACGCTCTCATTTCGCGCGGCCACGTCGTGGCCTCGAATCTTTGGTTAGGATGGGCTCGGGATAAAAAACTGCCTTCTTTGGCAGGCGGTGGTCGCGCTCAAGTGTTGTATGTCCCAACTATCTTAAGCTGATTGATTTCATTTACTGCCTCAGTGATTCTACTTCGTCTTTAAGTACTTCCTTATGTGCAACTAGCTAACTCCTGCTATCCTGCGAAAGCATTTATGGTCACTTGTTTAGAGGCGTTTAGGGTCATCAGATCGCAGGGTCAAAGTTTCACAACCATGAAGTTTGACTGTTTTCACAGTCACTTTGTATAAGCGTTGTGAGATTTGTTTCTGATGCTACGGAAGACAAGTTCACCATTGTCACCGAGACTGTGCTAATTGTGTGCATTAACTTCGCAGTACAGTCGTAGCTTACGTAGCTGTCAAGACATGATAACTGACACACAAAATCGACCTCTTCATCTCTAAGTTTCAAAAGGGCTCACGGGGACTGGAAATCTTGAAGACTGCAGTTTGAAGGTATGAAACACATGCCGAACTACCTCAGGCGTCTTACTCGGGGTACAAACTGGTGGTCGTCGAACAAAACGCAGTTCACCTTTAGTTTTTTTCTAAGTATAACTTAGATTGGTAGGACGAAGAGATTTGGAAATTTTCAATGGAGATTCCATACTTTAATTGAAGCCAATTTATGCTGAGAAGCCCAGAAGTACTGCACAACTGTTTCATCCACGAAACTCCAGGGCGTTTCGAACGTGCAACTTCTCGGTTGTTGTGGGCGACATTTCACGCTGACTACCACTGGTCATATGCATATATCGCATGCGTCAGCGAGCATGCCCGGTGATCATGTTGGCAGAACATCAATCACCCACAGCATAAAAAGACGTGCTAAATGTCATCCTGGCAATTGAATCTTCCAGCACCATATACCGTAGACATTCGTGCCAAACGGGGAACTCCAACCGGTCTGCGTCTTACTGCATAATTTATTCACTCAGCTGTAACACTCTTTTGGTGCCTAGCTGTCATGCCACCCAAATGAAGCACGAGGGCTGGGATACTGCTAGATTGCCCAAGCCTGGACAGGGGAAGTCGAGAGGCAGAGGTCTGGTTCTAACCGCGGACCTTCCGGTCAGTAAATTCGCGCTCTAACCACTTGAGCCATCTCATCCCACTGTTGGTATGAATTACATGGAAATTCACTGTTGTATTGGGTGTGAATTCAGTCGTGGATCTATCGTTTCCTGCCCCGTCTTACTGCATAGTGTCTGTTCTATTTCTCCAGTGCTTCTCCTTCGGAATCTACACTGTACTTATTTTCCTGTGAACTCGATTGCCACCCGGCTCCGTTTTATCCAAGGTTTGTAAGTTACAGTTGTGATATATGGCGGTAAGTAGGCCAACTGAACTGCTTTTTTTGAACGAATATGCTCACAGTGTTGCCGGGACCTCTTGCACAGCCTGCGAGCGGTTTGGTCTCTCTTGGGGTGGAGTCACTGAGTTTTCGTCAACCTTATGTTCCACTTGAACCCAACTTGTGTGCGACTCGCGAAACGCACCCATTTGCAAATTAATTTGCTTCTAACAAGAGACTCAGCTGAATCTCTCGTTTGTGATATTCTTGAACTAAATGTATTCCACAAATCTGCCCCATTTCGGTCGGCACGATATTCGAAATATCGCTTTTACTGATTTTAGTAATCTTTCATTGCTTGGTTGACTGTTCTCTATTCTCAACCTACTGAAAGTTGCTGCCGTGTATTCTAGAAGGATCCGAAATCACATCACCGGAAAAGAGTGCGATTACACGTCACTGTTTTGAGCAGCCGTTTACTTCTGTTGCGAAGCATATTTACCACCTGACCGTTTGCACCATTCTTTCTGTTCTTTAATTCTACAGAAAGGTGACCACTTTGGACAGCACACTATCAACCATTCACGTTTTCATTGTTATCAAGGTGATGCAACGCATTCCTGAAACACTGTCGAGTGCTAACCAACTGCTCTTCTAGCCATCTGAATCAGAATGGCTATCTACACAGCTGATTTATATTGATTTTGAAAAGATGTGACAGCAATCAGGGCCTGACAAATACGATATTGTCGGTTGGTTGGTTTTAGGGCCTTTGGAGGTAGCTTCGGAACCCAACGACAGTCATGGATTAGGAAATTTCCGTTTGTCAAAATTAAGGCTACCAGCTACCTTCATTTGCGTAGTGTCCACTGATGAGACCTGCAGCAAATTTCACAGAATTTAGTCTCAATGGGCTGTATGCTGCTTAAGTCATCGTCTAGGTGGGATTGTGGAATGTAGATGCTCCGGATTCCATCAGCAAGCTTAAATAAACGGAAGAGATAAGCCGTGAGATTCCCTCATTCGAAATTCGGTCTTGACAAAAATCACGTAGCTATTCCCTATTGGTAATTCCGTTATCTCTCGTCTTCCGGCACCTGCTCACTCTTACAAAAAATGTCCTCCCGCAACTTCCTTTTATCACTTCTATCACCGACACTGTTTGGTTCCCATAACTCATACGTCACTTGTTTCTTTCTCTTTCATTGGAGAGGCACAGCGAAATTTTAATCCCTGGTTTTGTGTTCTATTAAACATAAAATCTGTGATTGTATGAATGCTCCAAGATTACCCAACAAGATTAGGTCCGCTACCACATCCGTCGCGATGAACATATTACATGAAAAGTTTGACTGGGCACGCTAACACCCAGATAGAGATCCATATGGACGCTTTACTCCAATCGATTGCATGTAGCGCAATGAGCTCTCTCGAATGTTACTGTCACACTCTGTTACCACTCAAAAACTTGGTTAAGTATATTTGGATGGGACAGTGTTAGCCCAGTATCCCTTGCCGTTTGTTGGTGCCACACATTCCTACATCGCTCAGTTTATTTTGACGCCACAGAGACACCGATCTAATCCCTGAAGGTGCCCTACTGAGCCTCTTCACTATATAACCTGCATATTGGGAATTAAAAGTTCCGACCTAGTGACGTATTGTGCGTCTGTTCCATCTTGTGATACCCATCTATCGTTTCGTCGAAAGAAGGACCTGACGCTCAGGACCTGTGCCACCGACTCCGGTTAGGGGCACTTGAAAAAAGACGTTGCCGGCGTAACGAAGTTGAACCGCTGTGCTCACTACCGTGCGAGTTAAGGTGATTCAGCCATTTTTTTACCGTGCGAGTTAAGGTGATTCAGCCATTTTTTTCATGCAATTCAACTAAATAACTGCTATTATATTCAACAATTGTGCCATTTTGTCTGTTTAACACGATACCAAAATTTTTTATGCCTCTCGAACAAGCGCTTGCTTTCCGTCACTGACAGACTACTCACAAGTAGTCGGAATTTATTCAGCCTATATTGCCCCGTTTGTCACATGATGATGGGCAGTGAATGGCGGTATATTGGTACTCCATACCATAACATCAGTTGATATCCACAGTACTAACATTTCCGATTGAAACTTGCGTGGCGCGTCCTTATAAGTGACTGACATCCTGATCGCATTTGCCAGTCAACCCTGGTCAAAGCACTAGACTTCTGTGCATGTTAGATCAGTATCCATATATGGACCACCCTAATTGGGTGGTCTTTGTTCTCCTGACTCATGCGTCAATACAACATCGTCTGAACTAACCGGAAATACCGCTGCTCTCCAAGGAACATCGTAGTATGCTCTAGACGCTTCTGTCCCAAAGATTATCTATCTCATTACAGATAAATGAACAGGATAGTGAAGTATCCTTGTGGGAGGATCGACTTACACGTCCCCTAGGCGCTAAAGTGGGCGTAGAAGGGATCACGGATCCCTTGCAGCAAATCTCCGGTCTGTTTGAATGGGGGAAAAGCTGGTTCAGCCCGGGCTCGAACCGGGGACCTTCCGCGTGTGAGGCGGACGTGATAACCACTACACCACTGAACCGACGAGTGGGGCGCTTGGCATTAATTCCTCGAAGAGGCCACCTGATCATCAACCAATAAACTTACCCGAGCTACCAATATTTCACCACATTCACTGTGTTTACGCAACTGACTTCTTCTGTCCGTAGCCGATGAATGAAATGGAATGCGAATGAAAGAATTATTGAGCGAACGTTTCTGGTTTTACGCGTTCCGTCAACAGTTAAACTAATTCAGATCGCACGTGGCACTGAAACGTGGAGCTCACCGTTCGCTCATTTGACTGCCCGTTGTGATGCATCAAGAATCGTATTCCGTGCTTGTAATAGATATTTCTTTGTTGGACAAAAAATAAAAAAGTTCATGTTGCTAAACCAAGTGGCAGTCTGTCGTGGTTTGGAGTTACTTGATCTGTCGCCCCAACACTTTACGCGTCCAATAAGCGTCGCTAATCGATGAAGTAAGGATCAGTCGATCCGGTCAGCAGATTAGGCTGGTAAATCGGTGAACCAATTCGCCAGTTTTCATTCTTGTTGAACGAAATACTTCCAGTTGGATAGTATGGCTTTCCGATGAATGCTTCTTCGTTTCTTTTCCAGTCAGTACAGCTGAATTAGAATCAGATAGTGGTTCTCCAAGGGAGCCGGAGCATACAGAACTGTCCGACGAACCGGTATGTTTGTTTTCTAACTGTCCTAATATGCATTTTGTTACAGCGTGCAAAGAAAAAGTGTAAGAAATCTTCACACCCGTGTAATAAAGCTTCCTCCCTGTACAACGTGCCTTTTGCATCATTCAGTCTTGTGGATCCAAGGAGACACCCACTTCCAGCCTGGCTTAATACTCTTTCTAACTATCCTCGTTTATGTAGAGGGGAAAACGCTGCAAACACCGTACCTTGAATAAGACCCCTACTACCCGTCAATACATGTTTGTAAGTGTTTTTACCGACAAGTGATGAGCGTGAGGATTTGCATGGGCAGTGATACCGCCTAATGTGTTTGTTCTTTAGCCCCATCGTCTCCAGCTGTGTCATGACCACTCACCAAGCCGCAGAAGTCAGATATCTCGCCAAGCCAGGTTGTGGCGTTTGTTTAAGCAAAAGTGGTTTCCAACTTTCTCGAAACGCACCCATTTGCACACAAAATTGGTTGTTTAACGGGAGACTTAGGTCCATCCCAGCTGGACCTCTCGTTTAAGATATTCAACTGAATGTGCTGCACAAAGATTGCCCCCATGTTTCAGTCGGTACATTACTCGAGATACCTTAGTGTTTTATTGGAGGAAACTCTTCGACAGCCGATGGCCATATTCAACTTTATTAGGGCTCATCAGATAGACACACTCTCCGAATTTCCGTCAACCTGATATTCCTTTTGAACCCGGGTTGTATGAAACCTGTTGTGGACTGTCGAGGAGTTTCAGTAACCTTTTGCGTAGTTCCCTTTAAAAAAATATACACTGTGATTTCTCGGAAAGCGTAACAATTGAAACATGGGACGTTACGCGACACACTGTGCTGGGAATCTGTGACTTGAATAGTATCATAAACGAGAAGTTCCGCTGGGATTCAGTTGAGTCTTCGATTAAAACCGAATTGGTACGCAAACCAGTGTACGTATATACATTTCGGGTTCAGGTAGAACTGGTTTACGAAAACTCGGAGACTGCGCCTATCTGATAAGACTCAAAAAGGGCGAAACCTCTTGTGGGCTCTGTCATCAGTGGTTTCCTTCAAGGTTTGTAACTTTGTTTTATAGACGCCTCAGTGGACTGGGATGGTGATCTACGATGTCAGATCCTAATAACTACAGGGCCCCGCAGAGGAGCAGAACTATTTTGGTACTATCGTGGAACTGAAAAGTTGCAACTTATAATTCCTCCCAAACAACCTATCCTACTGATGCCTCATTCTTTCGTTCACTGGTAGGAATATTTCATATTAACATGAGCTCGTAGCTATGGTGACCCCACGAATAGACTGATTCCTGATTGCCACCTCGGGATTTCACAACTTGTTTACTAGGATACAAACGAATCAACCCGCCACAGCTTTCTCGCCAAGTCGGATTTTCGTTGTCCCTGCGCGAAGGAACCGTTTAGTTATGCTCAATAGTTCGGGAATTAAGCGAGTTTCTGTTCCATCGGTGAATGTGTAGTGTACAACACTTCTACCATATTGAGACGTTAACTGGCGTGCGGGATGATAGCCTTTTCCCGTGCATCCGGTTCTTATCGTGAATATCATGAGGGCAAAAAGAAACATCACAGCAGGATAGATTGAAGCCAACTGTTTCGATTGTCTATATACGTATATTGAAAATCAGTTAGTGCAAGGTGACGGATGGATAAGTTGACCCCGTGCGCATAGGCTAGTGAAATCACTATAGATCCCAGATTTGGTTGGATAAAAGTACGAGGATTGCAGACATGATCCAATGACGGCCATGCCACGGCAAGTCACGACTAGCCAAAGATTCTAGCTGTTTGTAGCGTTGAATCGTCGCTGCTTCACTAAAGAGCACTAGACGAGTGCTGTTTTGATCGTTTCTGACTTTGAACAACTACTTTGATTCTTTTCACTCGCTTCAGTCCAGCATGTAGCCAGATGGGGTGGGTCATTTGGGACGTGCTCGAAATCCCTGTTCTTTCGACGTGTAACTAAAGGGTGGTTTTCATCGAACCAAGTATGTGGTTTGAAGGCCTTTCCTGGCTCTGTTTATTTAATCGGCCTACGTGTAGTGTTTGTCATGTTATCCGTTCGTCATTCTGTCCTAACCTTGATTGTGGATGCATGCAAACCGCCGCTGAAGTATACGAATAAGTGCAATTCAACCTATCCATTTTACTAAGCGTCAAGTTGTTTCTCGTTGGGCTCCATTACTGATTGCGTTCCAAATGTACGCGACTCACTAATGTAAGGAAAAGCACCTTCGGTTGCGGAGGTGTTCGTTGACCAACAGGAAATTAGCGGTTGCGAGCTGTCAGACACGAAAGTAGGGACCTCATTTGCCCAAAGTGTACATCCTCAAGCATCCTGCTGAACTTTATTTGATACTAAATAAAAATGAACAAATACTGCCAAGTGGCTCAGTAATTTCCATACCAACCTTCCATCAGATGCAGGGGCGACTCTTCAACATTTAACCGCGCACTACCCACACGCTCTGTCAGTAGTGTGTGCCACCGCACCGCCTTCAAAACTCCACTTGCATGCCATGCATATATCATAAGTTTGCACCCTTGACCTATCTAGCACACTCAAGCGAAATCTAGAAAAGTATGACTTAAGTAATCATACACAGGGTTTACATTCCTGCGTGCGTCACCTCGTCCTGTCGACAGTGGCTAGTTGCTCACATGTGAGCAGCGCTTCATTTTTTACTTATTCTGTTACACTCAATTATGCTTTGTATAAGTGTACAATAAACGGATAAAGCGGGTCACACAGAAGTGTTCGAAATGTGAAGGAGCCGCATCTAAAGGCGGAGGAACGGCTGGAGGTTCTTCAGGTATTCTGATATCCATGTGTGAGTTAGCTCCAGCGTTGTGCGAAGGCCATTGAGTATGCCAACAGTATTTACCACGACAATTCGGTTACTCCGCAGGTCCCGAAGTTGGACAGATAACATACTAAACGTCTACAGTTTTACTGTAACGTAGACACCCAATATCTTTTTAGCAACTTGGTCGCTCTTCCAGCAAGCAGTTTTCTTCAATCACCTTTTAACCGGGGCACCACAGTTATATGGCATGGGATGAATGTATGCGATCCAGCTCACTTTTTCAACCATGAACCATGTATTCGAGTACGGTTATTCTGATCACTGCCGAGAAAAGGGTGAAAATTGATAGATGAGAAATGTGTTGGAGAAGAACCGAGAGCCAGAGTGATTGAATGGATACTAGAGTGCGAATGATGTAGCAGTGTCGATTATGGTCTCCAGCAACCTGTTTAAATGAGCGCTCAGCTCCCAACTGTCATGTACCAACGTCACTGAAACCTACCCAAACATTTGAAATATCTTCGTGATACTGCTCACTGATGACTGTCTTCCAACTCAACCCTAATAGGTAGAATAGGGTTTGTCTATGTAAACGGTCTGTAGTTACGGCGAGCCGACTCAACTGGCGCAGTCGTCCTTTAGACCAGATAACGTGCAAATTATCTGATCATTACGAAAAAGTGGCGCTCCAACCACATGAGCTGTACTGTGTAAACAATGATGATCGAAGGAGGTTTGTCGCCTATCAAAAGCTGATGGGGAAAAATGCTTACTCTTAAATTTTCGACAGGTAAGTTGAGGCTCTGCTCCTTAAAAACATCAGAACCTGTTTCCAGGGCCTTAAGATGAGCTCTATGATGTTGTACTTGAACACGGTGAAGGCGAAATTACCCTTCACTGATCAACTGTACACTTCATGAATGTAGAGCGCTACTGATCCTACATTTTAAAGTTGGTAAACCGTAGAAATCTCGAGTCTTATGTGTAGTCTGGTTCATTAAGAAGGCCAGAAGTCATCAACAATCCATATTGGACTCCTCGCGCACAATATATCCCATTTGAACTGATGGTGATAGAGCTTGCGCAGAGGGGAATTTGTAATCCATGGTAGGAACGATTCACTCATTTTTACCTGAGCTTTCGACGGGAAAGCTCGCACCACCGAACGCTCCAAAGGAATCTAAATGAATCACCATGACTACTGTCCACGTCCATCAGAGGCGAATAGGGATTCGGTAGCAAGACAGAATCAAGAAAGTACTAGAAATAGTGTTCGGGCACATTGTTCCATTCACTGAAAAAAATCAAGTTATTGATTCTAAACCACGAAACCCGCGTCCTGGTACAGATAACAGAAAACGAATGGGGTTTACTGGAAGGAGCATAATCAGTTACTCGTAGAAATAGGATAATCTCGTTAATCATCATGATTTGTAGTTGCGCATGGGTTGGGATACTGCCAGAACAAGCTTCCACAATGATCTGGCGCAAAGCCGATCTCCCGATAGTGGCTTTCACTTATTTGGCCACTAGAGCTAACAAGTTCAGACGAGTAACGTAAACACATCCCGCTTTGCCGCGGTATTCAGTGCAGACGCTTCAGTAAAAAAAAATCAGTGAAAACATCGAGGCACTAGGTAATCTCCAACTAGTCCGACATCCCTGCATGTATCCAACTGGTCTTGCTTCAACTTCGACTGTCCCCTTCTCAAGTCAGCACGAAATCCTCGGGGGTTGATTCCCCTCTGTAGATGCACTTATCAAGGCACACACTACATAGCAAAGCAGGACACGGAGTGTTTCATGTGAGTTCAAGGCTAATAATCTCACGAGGATCTTTGCTGTCCAGTAGTGCGCTTGCATCTTGGAGTAGCTCAACTTTCCTCGTCCACGGAACACTATAATCAATAGGGCCGTCCACGGTATCAGGATCTCCCTACCACATTCCCGTACATGGCATCTAGGTATCAAACATTTCTCAAGTACTGATAGCGTCAATGAGCTAAACCGTCTATGAGTAGTCGGTTGTGGGAAGTGACTTGCTAAGATCGATGCTGCTGAGCTATGATACGGGCAAGATGGTTCAACGGATAGAGCGCGAGCTTATTGACCGGAAGGTCTGTGGTTCGGACCGGACGTCTGCCTCTCCAGTTCCCCTGTCTAGGCTTGGGGAACTTGACAGTATCCTAGCCCTCGTGCTTCCTTCGGGTGGCATGGCAGCTAGGTACCGAAAGGGTTTTGCAGCTGAACATGATGATTCTTGGAAGATGGGTTGGTATGTTCCTTGCTGACTTGCTTGAGCCTGAAAGGAAGCGAAGTGTCAGACGTGCTCACAACATGGCGTGATTGGAGTCAAGCTGCGCCCCAGAAGGAAGGACATTTTGAATCGTAGCTCTCCACCGGTGGCTGATGGCCACATGATCTATTTGGGTCCATGGTTGGGTTGCACATGGTGGTCACCAGGTTACGCGATGTTTATGCTGAAGGTTCATATTACCCAGAAATAGTTGATGATCAGCTCATAACTGGATGAGTCGCTATCCACTGTCTGTGAGCCGAGCGTCAACTCCGAATCGACCGCCAGGATGTGATTCCCGAATCGTTTTGAGATAGAGCATAAAGCCACCTCGCGTAGAAAGGAAACGCTTGGAACTATGCGCTATACCAAAGTGAGAGGAATGAAGTTCGATGCGTCAGAGCTTCATACGGGCGTGCAGTCGTTGATCGGATAACCAAGAAGCGGAAAAGTTAACAAGTCAATCGAATAGTGGCAGGCTGTATTGCATCTGTACAGTGCGTTCTAGTAATAAAATAAAAGTCACCTGAAATCGGAAAACCAAAGCTAAGGCCAACCGTAGCGGATCGGATCCGGCCGTAGGGAAAGGCTGTTAATCGTATCAAATTGCTGCTTGACACAAGGTGGACTAAATGATTGCTGGTTAGAACACATCAACCCTAGGGAATCACAATCTTATTAGAGGGAACTGAAAATGGAGCGCAGAATCTTCACAAACACATAGACGCCGACCATAAGCAACCCGAATTGATCCCATTGCTTGCGTCGAACAAGGTCCTGTTCCAGGTGAACGACACGCATCTCCAAGGCTCGGAGACGTTTGTCATTGGGAGTGGGGCTAAGAGATCGAGCTGAATTGTTCGCTTGTTCTGGGGAGGCCAAAAACTGTGGAGCTATTCGGAGAACCTCTCTGGTTCGGACATTTTGCGTACCGGAACTGTGAGGATTGGACGAAAGAGGAGAACAACGGAGTCATTCAGGTGTGTATTAAGCTGCTTTACACTAGTCACGTGGTCTGAAAGGGAATATTCTGTCGTAATAGGTAGATATTCGATCAAACAGTCATAAGCTTTGGCGAATACCACCTTTGTACGTGTTTGATGTGAAACACATTTGCTTGACTCCGGACACATACGGTCCGGAATGTCACCATGGATTTTTGGACAATGAATCACAAACAAGTCTTAAAAAATAGAGTTCTGTTAAAATAAAGACAACTTTGTGTGCGCTTGTGGTTTGAGGCCAACTGATTAAAATCTATATATGAAAGCCATTCAGTCTATCCCAATATCCTTTGGAGTATATCCGGCGACGTCATCAGAATATCGCTCAGCTTTAGCACCCTTCCTGTGCCTAGCTGCCATGCCACACGAAGGAGACACGAGGGCTGGGATACTGCCAGGTTGCCCAAGCCTAGACAGGGGAAGCCGAGCGGTAGAGGTCGACTTCGAACCACGGACTTTCCGGTCAGTAAATTCGCGCTCTAACCACGTGAGACGTCTCGCCATCAGAATAACGAAATAGCAAACAAGTACTATTTTGTGTGCGATACTCAGGCGATTTACAACACAACAACATAGTAAAAGGTCATTCAAAATAGCGAACGAATTGGGGTAGCTTTCCAGCTTTGATAGGAAGGACATAAAGTCGCGTTGTCATGGCGTCTCCACAAGGTCCAAAGTTGTTCATTAGATTCATAAGCAAGCTAGAGGGATCTCAACTTGACCCTGTACCGACAAAATCTACCTTTTATGGTCGTTGAGTCGATGACGTAATCGCTTTCACCCCAAATCAACTAAAACAATGGGACCCTGAGAAAATTCAGTCAAACCCAATCGAACATCAAGTCCACTCTAGATTCGCAAATCCCAGAATGAATGAATTTCTAGAGAGAAGAAAAGATGGCACGATTCAGAGGATAGTGTGAAGAAAACAGACTTGGAATGGGCAGTAAATTCATTTTAAGAGCTTATTCCTTTAGAGCGGGGACGGAATATTATAGTGTCTGACATACAGGAGACCAATGAGAAGTTGTTCGAACGACACTGAAAACACAATTTAGGTGACGAAAGGACGTATTTACCTAGGATGGATAATCAATCCGCTTTGTGTAAAAACAGTCAGTAACATCAATACCGAGGTGAGTATCATTGGAAAAAAAGCCGGTACATCCTTTCAACTTTCGAAGTTGACCATCTGGCCGAACTGATATCAAGGCGATCAACACAAGCCCCCCACCTTCCCAGACAATGAAACTGTTTTAGTGTAAGTCCAACCACAATGAACCATGATGATAAATGTCATTCAAAATACGTTTGTGGAATGCATACTTACCTGACAAGGAATTTGCTTTCGAATTTTTATTACGCATGTAACATAGGCACTGAATTCAGCCTCTAAATTTAGACGAAAGTGAGTTTACTTTCCGGTTTTCAAAGTTTGAAAAAGTTAGTTAGAAAATACAGACAGTCAGACACCCATTGCTTTCCCAAGTGGGTTCTGAGATCCACATTTTCGTTGACGCCAATACTAAAAACCGAACACAAGTAAGCCCCCCGAGATAAAGCAAACATATGACGTGTAGAACAAGGCTGTTGAAACCAGAACACTCAAAAGTTCACAGCTCATGTTGTCCCTCCACAACGGACGCTATATAGCAGAACTTCAGATCACAGGTCGATATAGAAAAATCCCAGAAATACAAAAAAGCCTAACGTGTCCGTTGTATTGCGGACAGGTGGTTGTGTGCGTGCTGTGGGAGTAAGTTCGCATATGAAGTGAACGTTGTTCGAATTTCGACATGACCAAGGGTGCACATCAGTAAAGGCAAAACTCCAGTTCAAAGTTTTCTCCGTGGTATGAATCAACCGAAATCATGGCGCCCAAACACAGTTTCCATCAGCCCCAGAGGCGTGCGAACCACAGGTTGCTCGATTCTGTACCACATGCTCTCAAAGCTACCTGAGGAGTTCACTGCTTTGCAAAAAGTGAGAGGAATATGGGGCACCTAGTACAAACTCGTGTTCAGTTTGCATTCAGTCTGCCTGTAAAAACCACGTCAGTAAACCCAGGCGTGGGTTATATTTTGAACGTTAACACGATCTCGAAAACTGCGCATGGAAATGCCGTCGGATCGTGTACTGGGTGAGTAACTGAGAGGTCTTAGCGTATAAACTAGCTAAGATTCGATCACTACTTGCACTCCCAGGGAAGCATGAATTCGCTGAGTACATTAATTGGGACGTCAAGACGCACATTAATCACTTCACTAAAAACACTGACAACACGGTGTCAGAGGTGGCTTACTGGGCGCAGCCCAACCGGCAACCGCATTGATGTGCACAGTCCGAGCATCAAGTTATCTTCTTGTACCGGGTTTGTTTCACTAGCAAACCGTTCTCTCCATTTGGTTCCTCAAAACTGTTGCTACGCGGTAGCTGTTCAGAAACACCATTTGTGAGCCCACCACACAGAATGACTAACCAAGTACGAGTAAAATATTGGAGGTCTCAAGTTTAACCCAGAAAAATATACCTAGATTGTGGTAGGCGACTGCGTACTTCGATGCAACCTATCTATCTCGGGCACTCGAAAGGAATGAAAAGTTAGCATACTTCTACACTCCTTCGCTCGTGACGTACTTTTGTGTTGTGATGTTAGTTGGTAAGTAATTCGATATCGACCGACGGAGGTGAGGCACAACAAAACCGGAACGGTTGTCCATATTTTTTGTCAATATTTATGCTGTGCGGGAATCCAACACATTCTCACAGTTCAACAGCAGCTCACCTTCACTGTCAAAAAGCACTCCATGTAGCAGAAAGACCGTCTTCAATCAGACAGGCCTTGCTTTGCGCTTCTATACCATTGCCATTAGTTCTTACGGACCTGATTTGAGATGGTTCAGTGGTTAGAGCGCGAGCTTACTGACTGGAAGGTCAGTGGTTCAAACACGTCCTCTGAAGCTCGACTTCCCTTGTCTAAGCTTGGGCAACGTGGCAGTATCCCAGCCCTAATAATTTATTCGGGTGGCATGGCAGCCAGACTGAAAGGGTGTTACAGCTGGACGATTATTATTACTAGCATATACACCACTATGGGACTAAATGGAGACAGTGAGATGGGATATCCCTATCGGAGGATGGTAACGGAGAATTAGAACAGTTAAACACTCGTCTATCAGATCCGTGCCAGAGCCCGACACTACAGGAATTTAGGCAAAGGACTGACTGATCGCGGTGACAGTCTTCAATTATTTACCCACTGGGTAAACTCAGGACAAATCAGGCACAAAGCTTACCGGCTTGTAAGTAGAATGAGTGCTTGGTCACAGAGACGGACTCCGTGTTTTGCACTGCTGAGGAACGGTGAAAAACCATAGTCCTATTCACTAGTCACCAAAAGTCAAAACTGGGATCCTTTACAGTCACTTACTCAGAGCGGTTAGCATTGACCGGGGGAGAAACGAGTTGTTCGGTCTCTAGCTGTAGTCTTTCCAAATCTGGATAGTCTACTTCATTCAACACCAACGTGGCTGGGGGCGGTTCAAGGCTCGGACGATTGATCAATGGATATATGTCAAGATCATCTGTGTGGAAAGAGAGCAAAGGGTATCATTTGAGAACGTAGGCCGAATCGTGGCAACGTTAGGCACGTGTAACAGGAAGTAGGGAGTCGAAAGCCAAATCCTTAGGTCCGATGACATTAAGGCAGCAAGTTCTACGCCTAGTTACAAGCGAATCACGCACCGGCGCATTAAGAAACTTGTGGCCACGGTAGTCTAGATAACACTTTCCTCAAGAGCACAGAACTCTGACAGCTTCTGGAGCATTGCTCAAAGACCTCTTCAGTTGATGTCTTAGAGGTTGTTCGATCAAAACTTGAAGCTTTGTCAGCAGCACTAACTAAAACAAATCGCTCCACAAGAAAAATGTTTCCTGTTCCAAAAACTGAGGAAAAATAACAGCCCTATGGAAAATAGCCCCTTCCAAAGGATCACAGTGATAAAAAAAAGTTGCTAGAATGTATCCAATCGTCACAGAAGGCTCTCATAACATCTCTCTAAAGCAAGCATTGTATTTCATTCGATACATCAGTTCGTTCGCAGTCGTGTGCCTACCCGGTCATGAACCAGATTATGTCATAGACGCCTCACTGTGACTGTGCTATACGAGAAGACAAGTCAGGCATGTAATGCTTCTAACCGTGACCTAAAATCGACGACAGTGGCCGAATAGATGCACAAGGATAGTCTGGTCTGGTTCCACCTCCGAGAAGCTCCGAATCAGTCTCACCGGTGGATATCGTAGCTTTTAGTTGACCATGTAGAGGGCAGCATCATGCTACGCCAAGCTGTAGTGAGGTTGAAAGCTTGGCCAATTGGCTGTCGGGTATAGGCTGGACGCGTAGACAGAAATTTGGATCCCATTCGCTTGATTACTCGGTAGAATCACTACCGCAGAATGGAATGGTTTGAGCATTCGTGTTTGTGATGCGTAATTCCCTCTTTCATGCATTTACCTCCAGGCCGACGAATGAAGCCTATCAGCGGTTTCGACTGCAACTCAGGTATTTCGTCGCTAGAGGTCAGTGAACTAGGGGGCTGAATCCGACATTAAGACGACCTTGTAAAAAATGACGAGAACATTTCAAGATGTTGTTTCTTTTCTGTATCCAGTGTGCGTGGCCAGCATCTTCTCAAAAAATTAACAATCCGAAGCTACCGAACTCTTCCAACTTTTTCAGATACATCTTGAGGATGATCCACTACTGTTTTGAATTCTTCTTAAGATAACACACCTTTAAATGGTTTTGTAATCTGGAATCCTTCAAAAGAACATACATCGATACAAAGGATACATTTACCATTGGTTTGTCTTTATCCGAAAAGTAACTCAGCAATGCTGACCTGATATCCCCACCAGATGAGCGCAATATTGTTGATGATTACATAGAGTTTTCTAGGGTTTTCCAAATACAGCACCTATATCTCTGATCCATGAAGTAGAACAGATCTAAAACTGTAATCCATACCCTTGACAGTCACTTACCTCAAATCAGCGCCACAAATATCGGAGGGTGGCAAACACTGTCCTGGTCTTTCCAGTTCGTGAAGTGATTTCTCCTTTCGCCAGTCCGCTGAAACTGATGCAGTCGCCCAGGTAGACAAACTTATGTACCACATCGATCGGTTAACCAGCAGGCATGACTTTCGGGTTTTATCCCACCGTCTAGTAGTGGCACTTTAAATTTCATAGGTGTGAAGCGCACATCCGGGCTGCACAGCAGAATTATTTGAGTTACGATAGTTTTAATTTCTAAAATTTTTGGTCCAAGAAGAGAAATATCATCGGCGTACTCAGCGTCCGTGAGCGAACGCCCCAGGACTATTTCGATACCCGAAGTGCTAAAACCAGTTAAAGAAGATTTAAGCAGCACGTCGATTGCGATATTAGAGAGAAGCGACAGACTACTATTGGTGGCACCCTTGAGTGTAGTGCACTCCAGAGAATTCGCCGTAGGAGTGCACGCGTTCACGAGAAGAGGCATACAGGGTCTTCGTAAGGGACAAGTTAGAAGGGACCCACTTCATTGCCAGACACTTCCACAGTCAGAAAGAGATCGGGTGTGACCACTGTTGCTCGTCGGAAGGAGTGGCGCAGTTCCATTTGGAAAAATTTCAACGCAAACTCGGTTAGGGTGGAACCCAGCTTGATTACCGAGAATGTGACTCCCCCACAGCGGAACAACCTGCGTCGGGCCACACTAGAAAGCAACTTAGGAGCTGTGATCACCAAGTTGATACCCCAGTAGTTTACACGTAATGTTTTTGCACACATTGAATACGGGAATCACAGTTGAGATGATTCATACTGTTGATAGTGTTTTCATTCCGGATATTGTGGAGAAAAGCTATCAAGCCAGTCTACTGAGCTGCCTTTAAGGCTCACAGACTGAAGTAATCAAAACAACAAATGGTATTAGCTCAAACACTGGATTCCGTCTACATTGATGTACTTTGTCCGATGTACTTTGAATCGACTCAATCCCACCGCTTTCTTCCAAGTCCCAATGATGATGCACACGCCACTGCAGTTGGATATGCCGGTGGGTATTGTAGTGAGCTATCGAGTTGTATTAGGTCTGACGAAGTCAGTGCTTGAATCTCAAAGGCCCATGTGCATGGGACACAGCACAAATCAATGCGAAGCGAGTCCGGTGTGAGAGCAAGAGCAGCTGCTTGTTCTGCTTGACTCAGAGTGTGGACATTGAAGGCGACCAAATAGAATGGGTGTCGAGGCTTGTATATTGATTTCCAGATACTTGAGGATGTCGACGCCATGTGACGAGCAGATGTTGCACGCAAAGCCGAAAATCAATGCGGAGTCCGGTGTGAGAGCAAGAGCAGCTGCTTGTTCTGCTTGACTCAGAGTGTGGACATTGAAGGCGACCAAATAGAATGGGTGTCGAGGCTTGTATATTGATTTCCAGATACTTGAGGATGTCGACGCCATGTGACGAGCAGATGTTGCACGCAAAGCCGATGCAAGATGAACGGAGTCATCAGTCCTAGGTGTTGGGCCTACAAGGCTATAGTTATTAATCGGATGGGGGAGGGGGAAGAAACATGTGAAAGAGCAAGAAGGGGGCGTTAGTAGTAGCCTGCTTACCTACCCTGCTGTAGGCAGCGAGTAAGGCGATCCGGCTGATTGCACCACGCGACAGCCCATGTGAGACAAGAGTTTTGTTAGTTGTAAATGTCAAGGTTGTACGTGGGCTGGTATCCTATCAGGGCGCCCACACTTAGACAGCAGGACGATTAGGGTCCTCAACCAAAACCTTTGGCTCAAAAACCTTACCGCAAGGCAACGGTGTTTGATGGGAAATATAAATACATTACTATTTCTATGGGACGAGTCGCCACACGTTCCAAACCCCCAACCTGGAGGACCAGGAAACGGTTTATCAGACATCTAACCACTGACCAACTTGGTGAGCAGCATTCACTTTTTCATGTTCGATACAATTATCTCAGATTGGCCAAGCGCGACGCCGACGATTACGTCACTTTTTACGGTTTCATCAACCGTGAGCGTGAAAAATTCCAATTGCTGTCACTTACAGAGAATCAGTTCAAGTGTCTGGTTTTCGTCGCTGGTCTCAAGTCTCCGAATAAATCAGACATCCTCACTTGATTAATTTCCAAGCTTGAGCACGAGAAGGACATAAACATGAGAGTACTCACCACCAAATACCAACGTTTGCGTAATTTTAAACTAGATACCGCAATGGTACAGCAGACGTCACGACCTACTAATCCCAATTACATGAGAAACAACCGCCCGCTCCTGACTTAAAAACACTTTACTAACGTACTCAAGGGAAAATTTGACGATGTCTCAAGATGGCTTATAATGCTATGCCAAAACCAAGGCAAGCCTCAGCTCTAACCTGATGCCAGACCAGTTTTCAGACGGAAGCGTGGAGAATGAGCTTGTTTGTCTCCAACAATCCGGCCAGTAAACTATTCATCATGGGCAGCTCCCATTTTTGTCATCGAAAAACAAATGGCAAGATGCGCATATGTGCTGATTAATCCACTGGATTAAACGCCGTGTTAGACTCTCACCAATGATCATTACCTATACCAAGCTCAATGGTGGAAGATGTTTTGCAACGCTGGATATTGCCGATGCTTAGCTTCAAATAGAAGTCTCCGATGATACCAAAGAACTTTTGACAACTAATACACATCCCCGTTTGTCACCAGTCAATCGTTTGACATTTGGGGTAAAATCGGAACCAGCTAGGCGGTTTATCAGGAGTTGCCACTTATTTGGACGACATCATTCCCACAGATTCCAGTTAGGAACTTTTACATAGTTTGCATTGTGTACTCGAACGAGTTCAACAGTGTGGCTTTCATGTACATGCAGGAAAATGTGAATTCTTCTCATGTAGATCAAATATCTTGGATTTATTTTTGACGAAAACTGTCGGCATGCAGACCCAGAAATATTCACCGTACAACAAATGCCAGCACCAACGGATTTAGCAACCTTGAGCTCCTTATTGGGTTGGGTAAGTTATTACGGTTGATGTTTGCATGCATCAAGAGTTTCCGTAGAATGTTCAATGGACGTCATTTAGCGTTCGTCACTGACGACAAACCGCTTCTTGGCATTTCCGGACCACAGAAAGGCATCCCTGTTTACACGGTAGAACGTTTACAACGTTGGACTACAATCCTCTTGGGCTAAGGCTTTCCCATCAGATACCAGTCGACTGATGCTATCGTCCAAGCCGATCCATCATCAAGATTCATGGATTCCTACCGTCAGCAACCCTAAAATGGACGGTGAGAAAAGGTCGGTCCCAAATATCGCGCCTGATCCACTGTGACCGCTGGCGCAATACTCAATATGGTCGAAATGATTATAAAATTAGAGTTTGGTGCTGCTCACAAGGCATCTGCTGGCTGCAGGCGTACTAGGAGTCAGAAAATTTGACCTTACTGCTTGTTCCCTCAGACCATGCTAACCCCGCAGTAGCGAAGTGGGCTAGACTATCGAGTCATTGGCTCTTGGA